CCCCTGCTGGTCTTCGGGCCCGCAGGCAATTGGAGGTGTCGGGGTGCGTCGACACCCCCTTCAGCGCTGGCCCCCTGTTGGTCTTCGGTCGCGTTTGGCTTCAGCCTGGCTCTGTTCACGGGGATGGCCCAGACCTGTGGGAGAGGGAGGCCTGGGAAGCTGCGGGGAGTGACGGGGAATTCCAGGAAGCCTTCGCGGAAGAGGTGACTGGGACTGGACAGGAAGCGATGAGGAGGAGATAGTGTGGCCGAGGCTTGAACTCCGGATCCTCCTGAGCTGTCCCGAGGCCAGAGGGGGTGGTGATAAATGACACAGGGTTCTTGGTGATTTGCTGCCAACATGTCTTTGCAGAAATTGGTACCCAAGACAGAGGAACCCCGAGCCCTTCTCCCCGGGGCAAGGATATATCTCCTGCGATGTCAGGGAGCTGCGCGGTCCAGCCCCCCCGAGTGGGGGAGCAGAGGCTAAGTGGCAGCCAGAGATGAGAAATAAATGAATGCCAACACCCATAGGAGCCTGGCTGTGGTTGGCCTCTGTGCTTCTGTGCCCCCTTCTCCCTTGATAAACTAACCTCTGAGCCTCGGCCTTGCTAGTTTGTCTACCGGTAACGCTGCCCCCTCGCCCCGCTTACACAAATCATCCTTCCGCTTCAAAGCCTGGCTCAAACTCACCTTCATCTCCCCCGAGCCTGGGAACCTGGCTGTACTCAGGGAGGCTGTGATATCTGCAGTGAGACTCGCTCCGGAGGGCGGGCGCCAGCACAGTCTTGTTTATGTCCCCGAAGGTGCCCATCACCGTGCCTGGCCAAGGGTGCACATTCAGTGGCACTTGTTGTATGAATAAATTTGCTAAGTTGGCACCAACCATCCTTCCATTGCCCTAGTATCCAGAATCTTTGAGAAATGAATTAACCTCTGAAACTCCGTTTCCCCACCGATAAACTGAGATAGTGTTTCAAACTTCAGTCTGGCAAATATGTACTGGCATAATGATGGAGGCTGGGCACGGGCCAGTCCTGAGGAGGCCCCCAGCTGGTGAGGGTGCAAGACCTGGAGACCAGCTGGGGAGGAGGGTGCAGAATGAGCCCACAGGAGAACAGGCTTCCGGAGGAGGTGCCAACCTCATAGGAAAGGAGGGGGTTCGAGGTGGGAAGGGCTGTGTTCAGGACGGAGGGAGGATGGGGCTGGGGTGAGTGGTCCGATATCTATATATATATAAAAACCTAAGTGACTGTTACAACCGAAAGACCAGAGACTGGTCAACCAGTTGCTATGACCCACTGACCACCAGGAGGCAGTCACTCAACGCAGGAGCTGCCCCCTAGTGGTCAGTGCGCTTCCACAGCCAACCTCCCCCAATCCCTCCCCCTGGCTGGCAAACCTCCTGCAGTCCCTCCCTCTCCCACCCCTCCCTCAGTCTGGCAGGCTCCATTCAGCAGCCGGCAGGCCCTGACTGGCAGGTGCCAGCAGGCCCCCAGGGCCCCGGCCGGCAACCGGTAGGACCCAGCTGGCCTGGCCCCAATCCAGACTGGGCGAGACAACCCCAATAGGCCCTGATCGCCAGCCAGGCCTAGGACCCTCTGCCCCCCACCTGTACAAATTTTGTACACCAGGCCTCTAGTTAAGAGATAAGACCAAGGCATCAGGCAGTGGTGAGAATCCAGCCCCCTCACCTCCAGCTGATGCGCAATACTCTCTGGGCCTCTGTTTCCCCATCTGGTAAATGGAGTTGGTGTTAGACTGCCTCTAGGGTTGTTGTCAAGGCTGAATGTGTTCATCTATGTGAAGGGCTTAGAACAAAGAGTGTCTAGTGCAAAGCTGGCATTCAAAGAGCAAGGTCACAAAAGGACTTTGTACGTTAGGAGGCTGGAACTTCTGTGAGCTGGAGATTTCTAACAGGGACTTCTCTCCCATGCCGAGGAAGAAGCACAGAGAGCAAAGTGCAGGGCTTTTCCAGTTGCTCTCCTAAGATTCTGCCCGCTCCTCCCTCCCTTGGGAATAGTGGTGAGCAGGGAGCCCAGGAAGGCTTTGAAGGCCATGGGGGTCCTGATGATGGAAAGCAAGTGAGGCCCAATCAGAAGCCATTATGAAGGCTCTCCTGGCAGCTCATGGGGGCAGGCTGAGACCGGTGAGACCAGCTGGAAGGCTGTGGGGGTGCACGCTAGAGCTGGGGTACTGGGACACCGTCAGGGTGAGGGAGCAGCAGAGCAAACCAAAGGAGCGGCCACTCCAGGTCAGGTCTTAGGGACACTCCTTTGAGACTGAAATCCATGGGGACTCTCCCAGAAACATGTGATATGCTTATGCACACATGCTTGTGCAGACACACACAAACACACACACAGTGTTTTGCAGACAAGTTCAGACAGTTCACGGACACTCTGAAGTTCTGGGGCAGGAGAGAGCGCACAGAAAAAACAGAGCAGATGGGGTGTAGCTGAGAGTGTGATTTGCCCAAATGAGTGGGTTTCTGACCCAGACCAAATGGTATGTGGGCTCTGGAGGCACTTCTCCCTTCTTTGGCACCTGAGGCTTCTGGAACCAGGGAAGAGGCCAAAGTTCTCAGGACAACAACCCATCAGAGATGGATTAAGAAGGTTCCTCATAAGAAAGGAAACCATCATTTCATCCTGGCCCCTCCTTGCACAGGTGGGGAAATTGAGGCCTCAAAGAGAGGCAGGGATTTCAGATCACACAGATCCTGCTGTGATGCACCTGAGCTCACCTGCGCCCAGCCAGCGCGTCAGCCACCTTCCACCCACCAGCCCCCTCCCTCCCCTCCAGCTCCCAGTTCCTGCAAAGTGCTAACCTCTCCTTACCTGGAACGGGGTGGGCAGGTGGGCGGAGCTGCAAAGGCACAACTCACCTGAGAGGAGCATTGATTGCCCTTGCGGCTGCTGGGCTTGTTCTAGGTGAGACTACAGGTTTCTATCTTGTTGGGTTTTCTACTACCTGCAGCCAAACAAATGATGTGGACATGGAGGGTGGAGCTGGGCACGATGCCTCAGCATCGGGCCTATGGATAAAGCCAGGCAGCGCGGGGCAGGGGGCTAGGACTACAGGGAGAGGGACTTTCTCACCCAAGCCTTTTGTCTCCACGGAAAGTGCTGATTTGACCATTTTCTTGCTGACACTGGCCATGACCGGCAGCAAGGTGGGGGAGGCGGCTTATGGGAAGGGCATAT